CCTTTTCTGAGGTGTGTGGCATCTTGTACAGCAAGCATGTCGAACTGGTGGCCCATAGGCCACATGTGGCCCTCAACGAATATTTTTGTGGCCCAGCAATATAACAGTAGGTAAGAAATATTTTAATAAAAATTTCGTAACTTAATCTTTACAATATCCTGTTATATATAATAACTAGACCAGATGTCCTTCCAGATGACTTTCCGGATAAAGTTGTGGCTTCGGGAGCTGAGGCAGAGGCAGCCACAGTGGTGGGTGGGGGCCAAGGTAGAGGCAGTTGCGCAGTCGTGGGGGGCTGAGCCCTTTGCGTGAATTTCGTGCATTGGGTCTCTAGTTATTAATAATGAACTACAAGGTTCGCTAATGACTGGTTTTGTGTTGCATTCATTTCCCTTCCACACTTACGCGCAGGCACACCATTTCTCGCCACCAATACTAGCTGAATATTTTAGCAGCCGATTGCCATGTCATTAGTCTTGGACTGACTTGCTTGGTGCGTGCAACAGGAAATACTTCACTTTTGGAGAACAAGAAAAATGGTTTTATTTGCATTGTGCTTATTAATATGTGCAGTCATTCAGTGTCTGGTAAAGTTAATGTTCAAGACAAATATTAATTTTTATTAAAATGTCCTATTATTTTATGTTAACAATGATGCATTTATTTTAGCCCTTTGTATTCAGCATGTCTCTATTGCAAAAAAAACCTGTTTCTATGAAAATAGAAACTTCTGTTGTTTTGCGGCCCACATAAACTTAAACCTTGTTTATTCGGCCCATATTAGCCTTTGAGTTTGACATGCTTGTTGTACAGCATCCCAGAGAGGGAGAGCACCAGACCTGGGAAGGTCCTGAAGCTCCAGCTGCTCAGGTAGCACCCTATTCGGATCAAATGAGAACAAGATTAAAGGTGCTCAAGGGATTCTGAGACAGGCAGTGATCCAGGACAAGAGGGACAGGGAAACTGAGACAGACAGTTAACCAGCCAAGCAGGATTTAGCAAATCGCAAAATCCTATCTGCCCTAAACCAAGGACACTTAAGAGTACATGGTTTACACTTCTCCCCAACCAGAGGGCAAATAGCTTAAATTACCTGGCTCAGAGAGACAGATAACAAAAATCCAATTCTTGTCATTTGTGCCAACCACAACCAAGGATGGATAAAGTCAGGGAAATTAATCTCATTTTGGCACATTACCATAAAGCTAATGAATAGTCTATTGAGATCCTCCCCCAAAACTGCCAGCTTTTAAAACCCTTCAGAGGAAGGGCCCAGTGCATCTCTCCTTCTCTGGAGCGACCTGAGCTTTTCCCTACCCCCTCTTCTTGCCAGGCATGATCTTTGCCTTTCCCTCTCCTAAGCTTCAGGAGCCTGTCTTTTGTCTCTGTAACTTGTTTCCTGAGCCCATTTCTTCTACGGCTCACTTTTACTACCTCGGCAACTTGCTAAATAAACTTTCTCTTATAATTTGAATTCTTGGCTCTGAATTCTTGCACCGTCGTCCAACTTCGCTGATAACAACTGGTGTCGTTTTGCCGCCAACATGTACACAATTCCAGTGTGTAGAGAAGTTTGGGAACCACTGCCGTATCACGCAATAATGCCCCTGAGATCAGACTTCCCAGAAAATATAAGAACAACAAAATACAGACGCGAGGCTAGGGGAGCAATCCTTTCCAGAATGAAATGATTAGAAGCTGCTCCCAAAAGTCCCTGGAGGATTGAGAACACACACTCACCCCCTTGAATGACGGGCCAGAGTCAGCAAGAAAGTGGGTAGGTCAAAACAGGAAGGGCAAAGGTCGCTCCCCTTACCCCCCACCCCCACCTGGAGCACTATCAGCATTGTCATTATCATCTGACTCCCTAATGGGGTTTGGTAAATAGCTACTGGGCAGACTGGGTCCCTGGGTGCAGAATGATGAGGAGGAGGAGAAGAAGGAAGAGAAGGGGAGGAAAGGCCCAGGGGGAGAAGGAGGAGAGCTAACCTCAGTCACTTTCTTATCTCACCTCACACAGCAACTCCATTTCCCAGTGGGCAGTGCACAGTCTGAGGCCAGGGCAGGTTAGGAACTTGCCTCTGGTCACCTCTGTGAGTGGCAGAAGCACTCGCTAATCCAGATGTAAAAGGGGCAAGGATGCTAGGGGGCAAGAAAGAGGCACTGAGAGAGCAGATGGAGAAGTCCAGAGGCTTGCTGGGGCCAGATCTGTAGTACGATGAGGCCCTTCAGAATTCAACTGATCCACGTGTGATATTCTGGATCATGGGAACACGATGAGGGGGTTCCTCTGGGTTCCAGAGCAGCCAGCTTGGGGGGTGGGGGGATGGCACAGGGCTTGGGGCAGGGGCAATCTACCAATGGGCACAGACAGATTTCCACCTTCAAACAACCAGCAAACTGTGATGCAAATACAGTGCATAAGATCTTTGTGGTTTAGGAGATTTAAATTTTTAAAAAGCCCTTTGGCATCCTCTTCAATCCATCTTTAATGAGGTCCCAGGTGTCTCAGCGGGGCCACCAGCACAAGCACAACAAACTGCATCCATGGCTCGTCCTCCCTGCACCACAAGGCCACCCCGGGCTCTGTTTGGCAGCCGAGGCCAGTCATTGCTGCATGTGAAGAACCTGGCAAGTAGAATGGTAGGGGGCGAGGAGCTGCCTAACACAGCATCCAGGTTTATTTCAAACTTCACATCTGAGCTGGGAGAAACACGCCCAGCATGTAACCAAGAAGCACAGCTCACTGCTTGTGTCGCACGTTTTCAGTCTGCTGGGCAGTATCACAGTTTGGGCAGCTTCTGAGAAAATGTCATCCACACGCAGGGGCGCAAAGAGGGAGAGAGACAGGAAAGAGGAAGGAAGGAGAGGTGAGAGAGGGAGGAGGGAGCAGGGAGAGGAGGCTGGAGGAAGCCCAAAGGAAGGTCAGAAGATTTCGGCAGAGCTGGGTGCCTCAGGAGGTTACAGTGAAAACAAATCACGAGTTTGCTGCTTCAGAGATGTTAACCAAATTCCGAAAGGAAAATTCGTGAAGAAAAACATGGGCTGCTATCGCTTGTCTAGGCAATGCTCTGGCGGTCACTGTGCACTGACCGAAGGAACTCAGCACAAGGAAAGGAGGCCAATGCCAGTGTCAGGCAAACGGGTAAGAGGCCTGGCTTGAATTTAAGCCAAACATCAAGCCATCAGTCAATACTCAGAGGGTAACAATAAAAACTGAGCTCTTCCCAAGTAAATCCACCCAAAAGCTGAAGGTCTGCACTGCAAAGACCCTAGTTATGGACACAGCATTTGCAGTAGGAACAGCCAGCACTCACCGCTCACCATGCATGGCTCCTGTCCTGACAGGATTCTAGATGCCATCACATGCAACGTGCCAGCCCTAGAACCATGTGCTTTTGTTGGTTTGTTTGTTTGTTTGTGTTTTTCCTCCAACCTGAGTTATGGTACATAATAGGAATCTATAGACAGTCACGTGGATCTGCTGCTGCAAAACAAGATCCTTACGAATATTTAAATGTCAGGCCATAGAGTAGGGGTGTCGAACTCAATCAGAGAAGGGGCCAAAATCTAAAATCCAGCCTAAATCGCGGGCCGAATGGTTTACTGAACAGTCATAAACTGTCATTGTGATGGAAACGCAGCGGAGTGCAGTGATGACAGCGCGGTGCGGGCCACATTGCAAGGCCTGGCGGGACGGATTTGGCCCGCGGGCCTTGTGTTTGACACATGTGCCATAGAGCGTCCAAAAGCGACTTATCCTAAAGCACGTTCAGTGAATAGCGTTGCACTGAAACTTGAGCAGTGTGTGAGAGGGTTCACCAACAGGCCTGAGTCCCTAGGACAGGCTGCTGGAGAACTGCTAGAGGCATCAAGGGGTCCATTCTGTGCATGGCCACTGTGATGCCGTCATGTTTCTGGGTCATAAAGTTCCCATTATCTGACTCTAGACACACCCAGGAGTGTCTGTGGGGTCTGAGGTTAGCTCAGGTGCTTGCTGGGCCAGAACAGATATCACCCAACATGCTCATCTGACAGGGTCCTAGGCAGCCAGGCCACGTCCTTGGGAATCTGCTCAACTTCATTGTGTCTGTTCTCCAAAGTCGCCTCCATCCTGCCCGCAGTCCACCCTGACCCAGGGCCCCACTGCACGCCCCCTAGTCCCGTGTTACAAAGAAGGAACCAAGGAGACCACACGATGGTGCATGGCCAGTCAAGGTCTGACTCAGACAGCCGGGTTCCAGAGCCCAGCATCTCCTGTTTATGTGCCCTTTTGCTGATAATGTCAATCACCAACATTTCCTCGGCACTTCCTATGTTCCAAACACTGTCCTAAGTGGTTTACAGGTGGCTTTCTTATTTAATTCTCATTGTTATGAGATATTATTCTCTTCTTTTATTTACTTGTTTACTTATTTTGACAAATGGGAAAACGAAGGCACGGAAAAGAGAGGTAAATTCCCAAGATCTCACATTTAGTAGTTGGTGGAGCCAGACTTCAAAACTCGTAGCCGGGATTCATGCTCCTGCCTAAGAAACACACCTCAGGGTTGAGGGAAAGCAGTCATTGAGACCTGAAAACATTCGAGAATTCTGCTCCCTGAACTCCGATCAAGACCATGAGTGGGCAAACTTCCATCTGGCTGCCTACATGAGGGACACGGGGATCCGTATGAGCTGGGGCCCAATATATCAGATGTGGCATTGCCCTGGGAACCACCCTCTTGGCACAGGTGGGATGGTTCTCCACCCAGGTCAGGCCATTCCCTTTGTTGTCTCAACAAGATAGCGTCTCTGTTTACTTTAACCAGCACGTGGGTCTGCCCTGACGAGCACCTCAGGCGCAGAGCACTCCAGCCCTCACCAGGCAGCCGTAGAGCAGGCCGGCTGCCAGCAGCTCCCCCCCCCCCAATCCCCTCTGGAGGAAGCACGATTATAGAGGACATGCTTGTTCTAGGACCAATCCTTGCATTTAGATGAAGTGCTGGAGAGCAGAGTACCTGGGTGGTGTTGTCCTGGTAGCTGGCAGAATTTATTTCCTTGAGTTGCAGTTAGATATTTTGCTGTGAACATTTATTAAAAATCCTTTGTGATGCAGTCAAATGAAACTCTTGCAGCATCTGCAATGGGAAAAATTGAGGGGATATGATCCAGTCCCCATAGGAAAGACCATATAAAAAACTTATTTTAAGCTGAGAAAACATTTATTTACCTTGAGGAACTACTATGTCTTGTCATTTTTTTAGGATAAAAATTATGTCCTAATGGCTCTTTTCTCCCCTCTTCCCCTCTCTCTCTCTCTCTCTCTCTCTCTCTCACACACACACATTCTCATTTTTTAAAGCTGCTAGGGCATTTGTAGCCTGTACCGGGCCTAAAACTTTGTTTATCTCATCATCTCCATAGGGAACAATTTAAGAACAACTCTCTAGTAAATGTTTATATACCTATCTATTTATTTATGAATTATATGCATCTACCTGATTACATATTATTACCTGATATTTTAAAATGTAATATACACAAAGGCCAAGTTCATTGCTAATGACTGAGGATATAAATCCATGTTTCAAAAAGCTTTTCTCTTTTTTTTTAATCAATATACTTCTATTGACTTCATGGAGGAAGGGAGAGGAAAAGAGAGACAGGAACATCAATGATGAGAGATTGAGTGGCTGCCTCCTGCACACCCCCTCCTGGGGATCGAGCCTGCTGGAATAAAACTCAGGACCCTTCAGTTCCCAGGCTGATGCTCTATCCACTAAGCCAAATTGGCCAGGGCTCGGAGAGCCTTCTTAAGAAATTAAAAAACGGTTTTAGCTTCTCTCAGCCCCGACCAGACTGAGCTGTCATTGCATTTATGTTTAACGACGCTGACAAGGAGCTCGTCCAAGGAGCACAAGGAGCACCAGCTTTGCCATGTTTCTCTTCCCCTGGAGATGAGACCAGATGACGAGCAAAAAGCTGCTGTTTCTTTGCAGGAATATTTGGAAGCTCCTGTGCTCCTTCTGCGAGGCTGTGCTTACCTGGGTGACATAAAGCAGGAATCCACGCAACTGGACACACGTGGGAAGCGAGATGTCACAGCCTGCCCAGAGCAACGGAGCTATGGAGGAGGGGCTGTGGCCTCAGGATACCTGCGTTTCAGCCTCTGCCCTGTGTCTCCTGGAGATTCCCCTGGGGAGAGGCAGCAAAGGGAAGGAAAAGTGACAAGTGCGTGATCAACAGCCCCAAACCCTAGCTCTAAATCCCAATGCCTCTCATTTTAGGAAGAAAAGCATTCCTAGCTAAACATCCTATGTGTGTTCTCTTCACATCTCAGTTGGTCTCAGGTGTACTCACCCGTTTGGAACCCGCCTTTCTATAATATATCCCTGTCCATTTCTACCTTTTCCTGGCCCTCACCTCCTACTCACTCTATTCCTTGGCCTCCCTCTGTTTCCAATCACACTACTTTATTTGGGGGCTGTGTTCTCATGAAATCCTTTAGGAAATGGGAGTGCATACCTTCCTATGTCTAGTGAACAGAACAGACACAAACCTGAAGGACTCCTTCTGAGTGTGCATTTGGTTGTTTCAGCTCATCATACGTGTGGGAATCTGTAAGTTGGGGTTATTCCATGGACCCATCTCTCCAAACATTTCAAGATCATATTCAGAGGAATAAATGTGAGCTGGCAATGATTACGAACTGAACCTGTGATATTTAGACTTTAAGAAGATGTTAAGTATCTACCAAATCAGGGCAGCTTTGGTGCAGAAAACAGTGACTTTAACATACAGAATTTTGTCCTCTTATTTCAAAAGAAGTCCAGAGGAGGTTTCGCAGGGTTAGACTGGCATCTTTGGGAAATTATCTGGGACCTGACCACCTTCAGGCACTTCTAGGACATGGTCTGCCTCCCGGGGATATACGGTGGCAGCTGGAGCTCCAGCCATCATGTCCACTTCCCAGGCTGGCAGCGAGGGAAAGAGGGGCAGGGAGCCTCCAGCTACACACTGCAGGGGGCGCCACATCACTTCCCTTACATCACCACAGCCAGGCTACCGGGAGGCAGCCTGAGGTTGGGTGGGAAACACAGGCAGTGCCCATCAGGAGGATGGATGTGGGGATAACCACAAGCGGTCTCTGCCTTATCTGCTTTTCCATCAGCAAAGCCCAGGCCCCAGTATTAGAACTGCATTCAGTAGAATTCTAATTCTAGACCATCAACTTAGAAATGATTCTGCCCTTTCCCTCCCTGCCTCCCCTCTCTATTTCAGACCCATTATCTGTTATCACCCCGGAGTATTTACAATAAGAATCATTCCAGAAATCATTGTCCATTGTCCATTGTAGAAGCCCTGAAAATGTCTCTGGGAATGTGGTTGATGTAGACATCCCCGAAGACCTTTTCTGTCTCATAGAAATCAGACTAGGTATCTTCAGAAGACCTCTGAAAATACACCCGATTTTGCAAACCTGATCCCCCTTCAAATGCATTAAGTTAGCTATTTAATGAAACCTGCGCTGAAGTTAGCCATTTAGTGAAACCCATCTTATATGTGAATAATCACACTCGAACACATCTGTATCCAACTTTGAATTGTCCACTGATCAGACTTTCTGAATTGGTGCGATCTCACCGATGACTAAGAGAAAGCCTTTGAAACAAACCAGAAATACAAATCTCATGATACAAATCTCAGCATTTCCCTTTTGAAGCCTCGCCCCAGCCACTGCCCTGCGTCTCACGGCGATCCCACTGGGGAAATGGTCATGGGATTTTTGCTTCTTTCCCATTAACTGGCTCCAACAGCTGGAGATGTGGGCAGATGCTGAGTGACAGTCTTCTGCTGCTGAACATGAGTCAGGGAGAGAATTCATAGTGCAACGCACACATTTCTCATCTCTCAGATGCCAAATGTTCAAAGCATAAAAGACCTCAGCTGGTCACTCACCGGGTAGGCTTGGCAGCGCTCCATCCATGAGCTCACACCACGGCAGTGACATCACACGCCAGCCAGGAGGGCCTGTGCAGTTCAGAGCCAACCAACCAGGAAGCTGAAAAGAGACAGCTTCTCCTTTGCTGAGCCTCACCTCCCTCACCAGACCAGCACTGCTTGCTTGCCCAAGTTGACAGAGGAAGTCCAGGAGTCTGGAGAGTCCCATAGAGCTGCACCCTACAACATGTTGGGGCAGGGGTGGGATCTGTGTACCTTATGGGTGATGAAACTGACATAAAGCGGACACTCACCCACCGACATTTACCTCCAACCTAGAAGGAGCAAAGGAAAGCTCTTCCTCTGTTTTATATTTTTCTCCCTCTGAGTTTTTAGGGAAATGGGGAACATTATAACATCAGGAGCCTACCTATTCCCTGAGACATTTAAATTGAAGCTGGACCAAGCATTACCCATGTATCACAGGCAACAATTTCACCCTGGCAGGAAAGTGGACTAAGTGACTTAATGGGTATTTTCCATCTCTAATTTCCATGATTAAAAGAAAGAGGTTGAGAGGGGTACATGTGGAGCCTATTGTGAGTTTGCCAATGAATCCTAATTTAGATCAAAGAGAGTCTATGTGACACTGAACCATAAACACCCTAGTGTGCGTTACTTCAAGGAAGTTGTTAGTGTGTCCCCGATGGCTATTATGTGATATAGTTGCGCTCTAGAGCCTGCATCCTTTAATTACTAATATGGAAGAAAATCCCATATAAGAGGGAGGAATGTAAATGAGACCTCTGCTCTTTTGAACATTTTATGCATTCGCCAAATTAAAATTTGCTGTGGACTTTGGGTTTTCCTGATCTCTGTTGGTAGTGATCATTTGGCTCGTGGGATTAAATCTGACTTTCCAAAAACCATTTCCGATCAGTGCAAGGATTTCAGATCTTTATGTACGCTTTGCACTGAGGCTGGGATCATCAGAACCAGATTGAGAACATTTTCTTTGAAGTTTTCAAAGGTAGGGAAGAAACCCTCTTTTATCCTCATCTTTCCTCATGCTAAGCATTGTTCAGGGCAAGCTGAGGGGGCTGCATGGGAGCGGGGCCCATGGAGACCAAGGCACAGCATCACACCACAGGTATGCACTACCCCCGGCACATGCATGCAGCTTCCGTGCAGAGAGGACCCGTGTTCCAGGGGCGCGGGTCTGGATCGGTGAGCATGACTGTACTCACTGATGTGGGGCTAGTCCACACTGGCTTTTAAAGCACAACTTTAAGATGAGGAGAACCACAAATGTCAACTCACATAGCACGGTTTTCACGGTATTCCCTTCTCTGGGATCCCTCAGCTCTAGTGTACAAAAAGAGGATTGGTGACAACTTCGCACTTAACATGAGAGGTGAGTGTAGGACCAGGCCTTGCACAAAAGCAAGGACACTTACTAGACAGAATGATCACTAAGGGATTAACCATTCAGGGAGACCGGCCATGCCCGAGACTGCATCTTGTTCAATAAAGCAAACTCCTTCCTTGCCATCTGTCTCATACTACAAAGAGATAATAATAATAATAAAATCATTGCTTAATGAGTAAACTAAGTAGAGGATAATTCCCTGGTAGATCATATTGATGTTCTCCTCCAAAGGATGCCAAATTCTCAATGAGGCAGAGAACACAGGGGAGAGGGCGTGATCGTGCACAAATGGGAATGCCTAAAATCAAAAACCAGTGCAGCATATGTCAGTATTTAAATCCCCATCAAAGAAACATCCAACTTTTCAGCTGTAACCCAAATATAAATTTTCCTTACCCTGTCAATTAGTAGATTACAAAACTTCTGTAGCAGGAAGATCATTCTGCCAGCAAAGCCGGCGTGTTTGGAATGGGTCCAGGCCAGACAGATGGTGTGGAAAAGGGGTGCAATGAGACGTTCCCTACGGGCAGAGTCAACCGGTTCTTCGTGCAGCAAGCGTGACCTTGGGAGGGCGGGGCCCCAAGGAGAAGGGTGTCTCCCGCACGGCTGGAGAAGCATGCCCACGTCTAGGGTCACCGAAGCAGCCAGTGACAAGCACGAGGATGGGCTGGCGTGAGGGAGGCATTTAGAGAAGGAAAATATGCAAAACATTAAATGACTGGAAACCTTGTTCTTTGGCACCTAAAAAGTGCCCCCCAATGACCTAAGCCAGTGGGCGTGAAGAGCAGAACCATATCTCCTCCAAGCAAGACATGATTGCTAATTAGTAACCCAGGAATGCTGGCCATACTATAAACAGTAAGTGATGTAACCACGAGGGGAGACAAAGGATGTGTGCTATGCTGTTATTCAACGCCACCTGCACATGTCGGTTTATTTGCAAAGCTGGCTCGCTTACA